CGACGTATCTCTTTCATTTAAGTACATCAACTCGTTTGGCAAAATGCAGCGTATTTTTGGTTACGTAAGCAAATTTATCAATATAAAAAAATTGCCAAGGACGTCGCAGCTCACGTCTCGGGACATTCATCATGGGGTTCAGTTGTTAATTCGCATCGTTCAGAGAGCGCAGCTTTGGTCAGATTACGTCGCTCTGAAAAATAAGAGGTGTGTCTCATCATCTAGCAGCATCTCTTCATTATCGCCATTTTTAGATGACATCGGTCTGATTCGAGTTGGCGGTCGCCTGAGGCATTCAACTCTTGGCTTTGAAGCGCGTCACCCGTGTATTCTACCAAAGAATCATCCGCTGACGTTCTCCATAATTGCACATTTTCATCACAAGCATCATCATGTAGGGCCGCAGTCACTACTTGCAGCCATTCGCTTGCAATACTGGCCCATAGGTGGCAGAAAAACTGTCGCCCACGCCCTCGGTAAATGCATTATATGTTGTAAATCGAGACCGCGACTCGTCGAGCACATCATGGCTGACTTGCCTAAGGATCGCATTGCGGCCTCACGCGCCTTTATTGTCACTGGTGTAGACTATTGTGGGCCGTTCTATTATAAGCCAGAAATGCGTAACAAGTCCCCTCAAAAATGTTACGTTAGCGTTTTTATCTGCTTCGCAACAAAAGCCGTCTGGATGGAGTTAGTGAAGGACTTATCGACCAGCGCCTTTATCGACGCTCTAAAGAGATTTGTTGCTACTCGTGGCGTACCCAGCTGCATTTGGTCAGATAATGCAACCAACTTCGTAGGCGCAAGAAACGAGTTGAGTGATTTGCGACGCCTATTTTTAAGCGAGGAGCATCGCAGCGAGGTCCATAACCACTGTCTCAACAACGGGTTTGATTGGCGATTCATCCCGCCCCGCTCGCCGCACTTCGGCGGCTTGTGGGAAGCAGCCGTAAAAACAGCTAAGCAGCACTTTTATCGTTCGGTTGGCTCTTCACTTCTTGGCTTTGACGAATTGCGCACTCTGGTATGTCAAATCGCTGCTGTTATTAATTCTCGTCCTCTTGTACCACTTTCAGAAAATCCAGAGGATTTAGACGTATTGACGCCAGGGCATTTCCTGATTGGTGGTCCCCTAATAGCTCTACCTGAACCTGACCTGAGACATTTAAATTGTAATCGTCTTGACCGATGGCAGCGCGCAACTCACGTGCACTAAATTTTCTGGAATCGGTGGAGTCGAGAATATCTCACTCTCCTCCAGCAACGAGCGAAGTGGCGCACACCTCAGGCCAGCATTCAAGTGAACGATATCGTATGCGTCAAGGACGAAAACTCACCGCCTCTGAAGTGGCCCCTGGCCCGTGTAATCGAGGTTATCCCTGGAGCTGATGGTGTAGTACGAGTGGCAGTTTTACGCACGTCTAGTGGAACAACCCGTCGAGCAGTGAACAAGCTGTGCGTCCTTCCAGTAAACGATACTGTTGAAAGCCCTGACCTTTCAACGCGGGGAGTATGTTCGGAGCAGCAGCCGATAATGCAATCAACATAAATCATTAGCCTCACATCGCAATATAAAGCGTTACATTTAAGCTTCAAATATTTTTATCATTTTGTTTAAACTTCTAAACATTTTGTACCACCCTAGCATAAATACCCCAGTCCGTTATTGAACATATGTACATTATTATTGTAAAAGCCATTCACTTTATATTCCAATTGCAAAACATATGAGCATACACATGGAGGAGGGTAATTACTTGGGCTCATACATACTATTATATGGACGAATGCAGGCGAACGGGATATGATGTGTACATAGTATGTACAACTGCTGTCGCTCTTAAGGCGGGCGTACAAGCATGTACACATATCCATAAAAAACGGTCCATATGTATATCAAATAATGAGAGCATGTAAAAAAGAACAAGTTTAACTATGTATTACTTTTTATCGCTCGAGGCTCTCATCTGCATAGAATTAAATATCACCGTTGTAAACTCCGTAATTCCCCTTTATGCTCACTATTAAGAACAAACATTTTGTACATAATGTATACATATATACCTACACTAATAGGCTATTGCTCATGCGGAATTAAGATTTGCATTCATTCGATTTTGGCAATAGAACTGAGCAGCAGCTCAGCAGCGGCATAGGTGCATTTTTATAGTTTAAGCTCACGGCAACATCATCGTTTAGAATTCGAAATCAAAAATTAAATAAAAATTAAGTTGTTTCAAGAAATCAAAGGTGTTGACCTTTTCTTGTTAATTTGAAGTTCAATAGCTGCAAAAAAAGCTTTGCAGCTCAACAATACCTAAAAATCGATATTTTAAAAAGTAATTTCAAACTTAGTTTTTTTTAATTCCTTTTCGTTTGGCATTGGGATACTAATTTCAATTTACAGATAAATTAAGTTGCCTTTGATTTTTTAAACACGTGTCAACTCTCCTCTATACACTTCAGAAATTAATCAGTTTTAAAATCAGTTCTATTAACAACCATCTCCTAATTATTAATTTCATTTTTTAAATAATTTGAATTGAGATATATTATTTGTTTTGAGCTTGATTATTACATTTTTAAAAACTTTACAGCACAAAATAAAAACAAATCGATTGAATAGTTTTCCAAATACCTCGAGAACGGGGCGAAGAAAAAATTTTAAAGAAATCACACATACACACATCAAAATTCTCTATGAAAACAAATAAATTTTTTTCTGTTGAAAGATTTTTCACATACACATTTTTTGAAAAAAAATTAATTTTTTGAAAATATGCCATCTCAGAAAAACTGAAAAATGTACAATGGAAGCTCTGAGTATTGCGCAATATTTAAGTATAGTATTACTATAGTATTACTCTACAATAATTTCAGTTATGAATTTTTTTACACCGAAGTAGAGTAAAATGAATACATTAAAAATTTACAAATTTTTAATGTTTTTTTTAGATTTTTTTTGAGTATACAGCCTCGTAGCTAAATTTTAGTATAATAAAGTGCAAGTTTTAAGCCACTGCAAAATTGTGTTGATTTTTTAAATTTTTTATGCTGACGACTTTTTTCACTTTTTTCTTGTGGAAGAAAATGCGCAAAACCTTTTCAAAGAAAAAAATAAATAAAATTATTAACGCCAATTTTGCAATCGCCTNGCAAAAGGAAGAGTTAGAAAAAATAGCAATGCGGTTTGAAGGAAACATAATATGTGCCATAAAATGTTTGTTTGTTTCGTTAGTTCTCCTAACCTTTTAGGATATGAAACTCCATTCTTTGCATTAGTTTGCAAATATACACTTATTGTTCTACAATGGCAAACATTTTCGTGTGATGTTTTTTTTTTGATTTCGAATTGAAAATACATTATGATCATATTGTACCGAAATAAGTGTGGTATCCCTGCATTTTGTAAAAGCCAGAAAAAAGCATAAACTGTATGAAAAAATTAAAGGGAGAAGTATACATGCCTTCTATAAATTTGACTTATATGCATGATTCAATCTACATAGGAATTGGATAGCGGCATCTATACAACATTTTTGCTGTAAACCAGTGTAATTATTTAGTGATATTATAGCCAAACCAGTGTTGTACCAATGACATGTAAACAAAAATTGTAGTTTCACAGTTCCACAGGTTTTAGTCCGAAGCTCAAAGTAACATACCAATAATAAATAAAGTAACGTATTTCAAAGATAAGTAAAAATGTATGTATGTGACTTTAAAGTGTTTAAAGCACGGTGCACATTAGTGCGATACGATATGCGATACGATCGCTATACGAAATGCGATGCGATATGAAATGCGCGCAGTGCACATTAGAGCGATGCGATACGCGATGCGACATGCGATGCGACACGCGATACCATTTTGTGATAGCTACACAAAACATTTGTGCTCTTATAAGCTTGTAAATGAGTTGCTTCTAAACCGAGTTTAGACCTTTCGAATGATGGGTATATGTTTATATCTATAAACTTTTAAAAAAATTAAGAGAAAAGTATGTTTAATATCGAGTAAAACTGATGTTTATTTTTACAAAGTCGGCTAAAAATTAAATGAGATATTCAAATTTTCATGACAAATTATTTCAGAATATTGCGTTCACTACAAGGAGAAATCGGTGAAAACTGAATTAAAAAAAGGTAAAGCAAAATTGGTTTAGTTATATAGCCAAAAATATTATTTTTCTCCTGAAAGGTTGAATAACTTAGTCAGATTTCCCCCGATTTTTTAAAGTATCAATCACTATATATCAAATGTTAATATTGCATCAATTCAGGGGTAGTATAGTTGCTTTACAAAATAGTGCGTGAAAACTTTGGCAAATTTGAAAAAAGACGAAAAAATTAACATAGAAAATACACACAGATCTCTTAAGTTTTCTAAAAGTTTATATGTATACATATATCATTCGAAAGGTCTAAACTCGGTTTATAGTCAACTGAGTTACAAGCAGATAAGTGCGGAAAACCGGTTTTTAACAGTAAATCAAGATTGTGTGGCTGTTTGACAAAAATTTCGTGTCTCGATTCTTACTTCACTCGGCAAAACCTACCTGAAAAATAGCATGACTTACCAGGTATTTTTACTTCATTTTTTTTGTAGCATTGTGTCAAGGCGAATTTATATAAGGTGGTGTTACTAGCTCAGCTGATTTTGTGTATGTGTTTCGCCGCACGGCTTCTGATATCAAATTGAAAAATTTTGTTTGAATTTCTACACACACTCTTACAGATTTGGACAGTTTATGCCGTCAAAGCAAAAACAAAATACATGTAAATTTTTGTTTTTGTACTCCTTCTATCACCTTATATTAATTCCAAGGCATAACCAAGGTGTATTAAACAAGGTGTGATTGACAACTCAGTGCGGCTCTCTTTTAAGGTACTATAATGTCAAAAATTATAAACAAACGAATTAACCCTTAGTGATGCATGTATCTAGTCAGCACTGATACCCAAGGCTTTTATTTTGACTATAGTTTTGTTTTGCTTATATTACCTGGAATATATATTTTGTCAATAAAATAAAACAAATTGTTTATAAAATCGTTTTAGCAATTTTCTTGTTTTTAATTGCCCAAGTTTTATGCTTTTGTGCGTTTATTTTTGTATTTAAATTTTTTATCCTAAACATTATTCGACACTTATAAAAGTATGATTTTACATTTGTTTCCAATTTTATATGAGAGCTCAACACTAACAATTTTGAAATTAAATTTTTTTTCATGCGAAATAGTTTGGGTATAAAAGAGCTCGTTTGAAAGTGCTTGACTCGGACGGACAACAAATGAAATCACTTTCCTTGAAGTGGTTTTCACAAAGCGAGATGAATCACGTAGTACAACACTACATCGCTGCCGTCTTAACTCGCAACTAGGTGGTTTAAAACATCGCACTATTTTCGTGTTCTGACTTCTATTGCATACAGCGCACCGTTCAAAAGTTTTGCTCCGTTTCATCTTGGTTTCCTTACATTAAATATTTAAGCAAAGTCGAACGTATTTACTTGTTACCAAACTTTAAATGTGCTTACTTGCTCTCCTCGGCGGTTTATCTCTTAACAATTTCACGTTTATTAAGAAAATTTGTTGCTTGAAAAATTTTTGTGTAAATTTTTTTAAAACAAATTCAAATTTGAAAAAAAAAATTCAAATGGGTTAACAATTCATTTCAATTTGACATTATAGCCTGTTTCTTATGAGAGCAATGTCAAAATCAATCACACTTTTTGAATACATTTTGGCATAACAAGGTAGAAGTGATTTCGACATTTCTCTCTTTTGAACTGCGACTAAAATGTCAACTCTTAACCCTATACTATTCAAAATTTTAATTTTTTTAATATAAATTTTCAATTGTGAGCTGTGCGACTGATTTTAAATACATAATAAAATGAAAAGGAATTACGGGCGGTATGTTGTGTTTGACAAGAGCCAGGACTAGGTACACGAATTTCGATATGATACGATACCATACCGATACTTTTGGCATTCGATACCGATATTTTCTACTCGATAGTTTTAAAACGATATTTTTTGGAATCGAGTACCAGAACCCTAGTATCGTATCGAATGTCATAAACTCACATTCGCACACTGAGGGAAAAAAATTTTAGAATTAAAAAAAAACGTGCTAAATTGAAAAAATATGCATATGAAAGAGACCAAACCAACTCGTTTTAAATTTGAGTATATACGTTATAAAATATGTG